GGGGGGGGCAGAGGCACTGTCGTGGAAAAGATGTTCACGATGGGTGTCGTTGACGAGGCTGGTGTCCAGACGAAGTTCATCACTTGCAAGAAACTATGAAAGTTCCTGAGAATCAAGACCAAGTCGATCGATGAACCTGACTTTATGTTGGGTCTGACGAACGTAGAACAAGAGGAACGCGAAGATCCAATTCAGTGATGAGCAGTTGAAGAATTGCAAGGAGCTGAAGAGGCGACTATGCAATCCTCCAGTGTTGCACCTCCCTAACTTCGGCCAGCCCGTGCATCTGCGCACTGATGCGAGCAAATTCGCTGTCGGTGGAGTATTATTCCAAGTCGTGGACGGAGTTGAGCGACCCATTGCGTACACAAGTCGAAAGATGAAATCCGCGGAGCTCAACTATCCAAAACAGCAGCAGGAGCTACTTGCTATCGTGCACGCGCTAGCAGCTTTTCGAATTTACTGCTTGGACAAACCACCGATCGTCGAGACAGATCACAAAAGTCTCGAAGGGTTGTTCACACAGAAGATGGCTAACCGCCGATTGGCTAGGTGGTACGACATTCTCGCTGAGTACCAACCCATGTTCTCGTATCTTCCTGGTGCGAAGAACGGAATCGCGGATGCATTGAGTCGCAGACCTGACTTGCAGCCAGCTACGAAGTATTTCCATGACCTGAGTGTGTCCAGCTTCAACGACACTTCCTTCGGTCTTGCTCTTAGTGAAGTGTCTACAGATTCAGAGCTGCTGAAGAGGATCAAGGATGCTTACGCCAAAGATCGAGATGTCCAGACAATCCGGGCAGCAATCCAGCGACGTACAAGCACCTCAAATTCGAAAGCAAAACACCAGCACCACAAGCTATACCGATACTATTCGGAGGCAAACGGCTTGCTGTCATATCAGTCTCCGGTGGATGACCACCCTCGAATCGTTATTCCCAACGATGTGAAGTTGAGGCAATCGATAATCAAGGAGAGTCATGACACCAACTACAGAGGACATCCCGGTTCTGAGCGAACGTACTTAACGTTAGCACGACTCTGGTACTGGTCCAAGATGCTCAAGTCGATCCAAAAGTTCATTGCTGACTGCGAACCATGTCGACGAAACAAGCCAAGGCTGACAAAGCCTCCTGGTTTACTCGAACCATTGAGTATTCCGGATGAATGCTGGAGATCAATCTCCATGGACTTCACCACGGATTTGCCTAGAACGAAGCCTGAAGTTGATTCGATTTGGGTCGTCGTCGACCGACTGACCAAGAGATACTACTTTGTGCCGACTACGAAGAAGGTAAAGCCGAAGGCGTTGCCCGTCTCTTCATCGACAGCATTTGGAAACTTCATGGTATGCCGACGAATATTGTATCCGATCGAGATAGGAAATTCGTGTCTGCGTTTTGGCAACACGTCTTCAAGTCTATCGGCACGACACTCAGCATGCCGGTAGCACACCGGGCTCAAGGCGACGGACAAACTGAGCGAATGAATCGGACGCTAGAAGAATATCTTCGATGCTTCGTCAGTCCACGTCAAGACGACTGGGACATTCATTTAGCGAACGCTGAGTTTGCCGTCAACTCAACGGTGAGCTCCAGTACCAAGCTCGCACCGTTCGAAGCGGATCTAGGGTATATCCCGCTGAATCCGCTACAGCTTGCAGCGGAGCAATTCGATACGGTTGCAAAAAGTCGTCGAGGCGCTGAGTTCCACGAGCGCCAAGCAGCTATTCTTCTTCGCTGCCGTGAAACAATTGCTCAAACGCAAGAGCGAATGCGTGATGTCTACGACAAGAACCGACAAGAACAAGTTTTTGAGGTTGGCGACCGTGTGTACTTGAGCACCAAACACTTGGATACCAAGCACACTGGTCTGCCAGCATCCACTAAGTTTGGTCCGAAGTGGATTGGGCCTTACTCTGTTGTGCGGAAGATACACAATCATGCTTACGAACTCAACATTCAAGCTGGCAACAAGCTTCACCTAGTATTCAATACGGTTTCGCTGAAGCCGTACAAAGATCCGACACGCTTGTCGCGGCCCAACGAGGTTGTACTGGCTGATGGAAGTATCGGCCAGATCGTCAAACGCTTGGTGAAGAAGAGGACACACAAGTGACGGACCCAATTCCTTGTGGAGTGGGTGGGGGAAGAGAAGCAGACCTGGGAACCGGTTGAAAACTTGTCACAAGTCCCTGACCTCATCGCAGAGTTTGAGACGGCAAGGCGCAAGAAACGAAAGAGAAGATGAAGTAAAACCAACTTAAGGGGGGGGGG